CTCGAATGTGTATATCTACTTTACTTTAAGATCTACTTCCATTTATTTTACAACTTTAACTACAAAGATGTCTGTTGAGTACGAAGATTTAGGAGGGACCATTTCAAAATCTCTCCAATTTCAAGAAATTCAACTGATTCTGGATCTACAGAACAGAACCACAGCTCAGATCTCCAGCATCGTTGATCTGAGTCCAAACAAACTATCCACTATCTACCTTTACACATTCTTCACAATTTGCGAAAAACTAAAGGTATGTTAGCAACAGTAAAGTAGCAGTCGCACAATGACTGATTGGGGATCCCAAACAGTAAATTGGAAATAAAGTGGAGGTTAGGAGCTCGGTGAAGATTTCTACACGAAGAAGTGGACATATTTAGTTCTTTGAATAAGATATGTGAGCAAAACTGGCTTGGAACACAAGTTCTGTGAAAGATAAACCGAAACTATTGAAGAGGTGATGAAGTAGTCAAGGTCTCCAAAGTACCTCCAATGCAACTCCCAAAGTCACTTTTGAAATTTGACAAAGTTAGGCTTGATTCCTTCCACCCCCACCTCCACTTCCGTCATCTTTCCCATTCACATGAAAGCAGTGAAGCGTTGGACACGGAGAGCTACCTACAACAGAGATGACTTTGGCAAGACTAGAAATAGGACGGAAATGGAGATAAGAAGAGTGAGACTGGAGAAATTTGGCTTCGCATGTAGGAACAGGCACATCTGTAAACGTGAAGGTTCAAGAGGAACTTTCACCCACAGTCAAACTATTCACCGACTGGCGATATGAAGGCCATTGAAACACATAGGAAGTTGACGAAATGGGTTGTCCATAGCAAACTCATTTGTATTGAGTCTGTAGGATTTGTACAAAATGGAGACTGCTCACAAATGTCACCATATTATAGAACTTAGCGGACAGGAACCAGGTCGTATAACTACTAGTATATAACGGCTAACAGCAACCATAAAAGCAGTAAATAAAGACTTGTGTAGACAAAAGTGTATTGAATAAATAAGACATGATGAAGTTTAGAGAGGGCATGTGAGATGGAGGGGGAGGGCAGGAGAGAAAACGAGAGAGGTAACTGACAGACCCGTGTACTCACGAGTGGAAATGGATAGGCAGTTTAGATGAATCACTTGACCATGGTCACGGTTATGGCTAGAAGTGCAAGTGCACTCTCAAATGAAACGAAACGTTTTTGATGAGAGGGAGATCGAGCATACTCGATCAGTTAAGGTAGGATCATAAAGACGAAACATCAATATATCTCATAAAGAACTTAACTGACGAGTGGATTTTCGCAAACACATAGAAAGTCACCCACCATTACCGTTGATGACGTCTCCCTCACTCAACCACTACTAATCTCAATTAAATCTACTCTAGTATTCAGCCACGAATTATGCTCGATATCTCCACATATAACTATTTGTCTCCCAAATTCTAACATGCAACCGCAGCCTCCACTGAGTGATAGACCACGAGTGCAGTATAATCACAATTTTATTGAACGAGACTGCAATTCACATTATCTTGAGTCACTCCAAATCCACACCAGGGTTTACATCGTTTAATTAAGAATATGAACGGAGAATGTATTTTATATCTGGTTATAGTAGTTCTCCTAAGTTAAGAAATTGGGTAACTACATAATTACGACTTTTACTGGAATTCAGATCTTGTAGATTAGGAGTACAGTGCACTTAAAACTACGGTTTGTTGGAGTAGTATGACAAGATAATATACCTCATATCTCACGTTTAGTGGGAAAACTTTGGATCACAAATAGGACTTTTCAAGCATTTAAATAAAATTCATCTCTTAGTCACGGTGTTAAATGAATGAAATCCTAAATATGACTTACAAACGCATACCTGTATTCGAGCAACGTAGGCCACACCCATAAAAACTATAAATATTTTACTAATCTTTTAAATTCACATGCCCAAATTTGTTACAAATCATAAAAAGAGATGAGCAGCTGAAATTGTGAATCTGGCTATAAATAACAGAGCACCTTATTCAAATCAAGTTGAATAAATACAACTTAAAATAGAGATTGAGTGACATACCAGAAGCACGAGTGCAAGGGGCCCGAGATAGATGAGAAAGAGAAATCCACCAATCATGATTATGGAAGCAAAGAGACGAACCACACAGTTTGTGAGGCGCGGTGAGAGTCCAGAAACACAGCTCTCAAGACAGGTCGGCACGTGGGAGGAACCCTCGAGCAATGTCACAGCCGCTTTTGGATCGAGTTCAAGGTCAGAGGAGAGTGGGGCCTCATCGGCAGAAGACTGATCAGTTAGGGCTGATTTAGAAGCCAAAGAGGCTGTTTTAGTTGACTTGGAACTTTCTTCTCCTTCATCACCACGAACCTGAGGGGAACAGAAAAATATACATTCAAAGGGTTTATCCAGAAGACTCTCATACAAGTAGTTTCGTTTTATGACACTTAGATATAAATACACGGCTAAATTTTTATTGGCTTGTCGTTTAAAGCAGAGGTTACTTTATGAAGAAAAATTTTCTAATATAGGCTTGGAGCGGTGGTAAGTTAATAACTGAATGGTTGGCAGCAATAACTGCTTGAATGATGGACTTACCTATTCAATGAGGCGAAAATATCTGATTGGGCTTCTTAATACGTGTTTCCATTAAATATGGGAAGGGCGCGTTGATAGAAAACCAGTAAGGTGAAAAAAAAGTTATCCTAAACCTTCGAAGATTCCGAGATGAACTATCATCGCCATTCATCTACTTCTCGGTCTTTAAGTCACTTATCAAATTATCCCACTAGTACCTACTTATTTAGCCACCTTTTGTCTTACTGGTTACGTGATTAAGCAATCTACACTACGGTTAATGGATTTGAAAGCGACGAAACAAATTTTAACAATCAACTACACCTCTTAAGTGACAGTTTAATTAAAGTCATCATTTTGAGAACTGGACACGAGTTTAAAGCTTGTTGAAGGAAAGTTTATAATAGCGGTATAGTACTGTTAGAGTTTCATTAATTCATCGATACTAATAAAGCATGTCGTAGATATTCGTTTTGCACGCAATCCAAATCCAAAGATCATTGAACAAATTGTTGGCTCACAAATCAAAGCTTCCTCACTTAAAGTTTAGTTGAGTGCAAGCCGATGAGTAACAACTTTACAGAAATGACACTAATTATATCATCAGTTCACACAAAACAGTTTCAATAAAGAATAGCAGACCAGTATGAATAGAACAAGTGATGAAATTCAATTAAAAAATAGCCAAAAGATTAAGCACATCCTAAAAATATAAGATTTCCCTTAGTCATATGAAGAAATCGACTACCAGTGGGCCACAAATAGACAGCATTTCAGCTGTAAATAAGATGTGTATTTCTGTGAGAAGATTTGCATTTCTACAAAGAAGAAATTTCCTTTCACCAGAAAAAAAACCAATTGAGAAGATAAAGATGAAAAAACCATAACTAATCTTTCAAATGAGCTTCTGTTTAATGGTGATATAATCTACCAAAAGAGGTAGTTTAACTGGAAGGCGCAAAGGCAATTACAAAAATTTAAAGGACGGTTTAATCGAAATAGAATAACTGGTTAAATAACGATAAAAAAAGCACTAAATCTTACATTAGTTAATATTTATCAATATTTGAAGATGTAAAAGCTGCCCACCATAAAAATAAATAATGAATACCGCCCAATGCCACATAAAATTCGGTACAAATATGCATTATCAAAACATATGTTGGAGAGACGATGCCATATGATTTTAGAAAAAAACATTCACAAAGATTTCAGATATAAAACACCGTCTCTAAGGTCCGATATAAGTAACGGAAGCAGTGTAAAAATGATACGGAGGATTAAGGATGTAGGGTAAAAGGAAAATTTTTGATAATCTTTTAAGATGTGATGAAGAGCATAAACAAAGATGTTGAAAAAATAGAGGGTAATACTTCGAAGTAATGAATAAATAAAGCCATACATGCAGACAATTTTATTAAAAAATAACAATCAATCTATTCATATATAGGCTATATGGATAATAACATGTCACAAAGATAAATTTCGCATACTAAATATCTTAATAAGATAATAATTTAGACTTACCGAAGCTCGTCTGTGTGTTACTTCCGTATCCCTTTCATCCATCTCGTTAGAAGTTCGAAAATGCGGCTTAAAGGGGTAGCCAATTAATGTAGTTTTCAACCGTTCCCAATGAAGGCACAGATGAATTAAACAATGTAATAAAATATGCAAATTTAAAAGATGAGGTTAAATTATTTAATAATATATTGATTAAATACATTAATTCATTATCAATATTGTGAAAATATTGGAAAAATAGTTAATGCGGTTTTAAAATATATTCTGTGACAAGGGGGTGTGCGATAGACTTAGCTCCACGTGGTGCACCCTGGGCAACGTATACTCATGCAGCAAAAAAGTCTATAAACCGGCAATTGACTTCTGAGTTCAAGCTATCATGACCCCAATGTATGTCATATTCGACTACTTTCACAGTACTCACCTCACCTTTCATCTACCTTTGTGACTGTCTCTTTTACATCTTTAAAACACTCTTCTGTCCCCCCTCTCGACTTTTCGATTTGATGTTCCTCTCGCTCTGTGAAGCCTGATGAAGGCTAATGATAACTATCATTAAGTCTGTCATTTGATATAAATAAATGAATACTGTGTGACATGTGGCAATCATCATGTTCTAACATATTTTGTGTGAAAATACAAAAACGAATAACAAGCAATTTATACATGCCTTGAGTATAGGAAAATAATCCAAACAGACTAAAACTCATTTTTTTCTCGAATTACTATATCGCTTATTACATATATTATTTACTTCCATTATCGCAAGTTTCTACTTAAAAGTAAAAGAACGCGTCGACTTTCACTTAATTAAGTTCTAATAATAAAATCTCACTGATACAATTCCCAATTGGTATCTAGACTAATTATCTGAATTGTACAAATTATTCTACATATATACAGTTTTGTAAAGTGGTTAAAGATAGCAAGTAGTTTGGTCTCGATATTTATTAAACTTTTATTGTCACCCAAAGTGACACTAAAGTAATACAATCCCAAATATTGAAATTACCATTTTATTAAAAAGTTCTTTAGCATAGGTATTGAGCAAGGAATTTACAGCTTACCATATTTGAAAAATGAAATAGTCAAATTTAAATTATAATAACTAGCAAAGTGTTAATTTCATTTTTCTTTGGTAATCAGTATCGAGTTTCATTTAATATGCTTTTTTCGATAAATTACCTAACATATGTAATAAGTACTCTTTGGAAGCTACTAAACGCAATAAGAAATTGATTGCAAATATGCGCACTAAAAAATTTAACACTTCAATGCTGTATTCTGTGAAGACATTCGAAAATATCTAACTACGGACTAGAAAAAAATTAGTCATTTAATGCACTTAACATTCACAAAATTTAGTTCGCCTAGAAATAGCGTAGATAAACGGCCTTGCTAAAGACGCTAACATATTTTCGAATACTCGACATCAATGTGCTTTATTTAAATAAGTTAAAACTTGAGATTCATAAACCTAATGAAAACAATGATCATACACACAAGCAATATTCATTCAAATAAATTACATGTTTGTTTATTAACAAAGGTTTATATAATCAAGATTTTGTTTAATTTTGTTGGAAAATAAAAGCAGTTTACTTAAAATAATATTTAATTTAATAATGTCAATAAAATTGGACTATCTTTTACAAAATGAAACACTTGACTTTGTTAAATCTAATGAAATTTATCATGAATTCGCCTTATCGTACGTGACGATCACTTTGGCGCGTTCTTCGTTATAGAGTATAATCTTTCATTTAGTGTTCCCAACGTTAACATGTCTGAGATGAGTGCAATGCATGGTTAGTATGACACATTAAGTATAGCTTATATTAATTTTTTCTATTTTTCCAATTATTTTTTCTATTCCTATGTGTTTCTTTGGTAACAAATATTCGCATACTTTCTCTCTGTGCTTGATTTAGTTAACCTTTGCAACATATTTATATTATAGATTATCAATCGAAGGACGCGGCAGTAAAGCGGTATTTAATTTTTCTCTTTCTTTAATTTGGATTTCTTTCCATTTATATTTTTGGTCAATTTTTACTGTTATACCTTTTTGCAAGTTTATTCGAAAATCATTTTAGTATGGAGCCAGACGGTTTTAATCGAAACTTGTAAGTCTAGTGATTGTCTGCGATCTTGTCTTAGCTGCGTGTGCAAATTTTGTGCTTCGCTCCTATCCAATTTTCGTCTAATTCACCTCTTTTCCGCTATTAAATGTCGTGATTTCGGTGTGATTTAGAAAATCTATGTGCGATTTCTCTGTGTTTATGTATTTATAAATTTTTATCGCTCTTAGGTTTGACCGGCGTTCAACTGTTGCTTTCCCTGGTATGGAGGGAAAGTACGTTGCGAAGGGTCAGTTTTCTGGAAAATCGATCGCTGTTCTGAGCAGTGGTGGTGATGCTCAGGGTATGAACGCGGCTATTCGTGCTGTTGTTCGTATGGGTATCTACTGTGGTTGCCGAGTGTACTTCGTGAAAGAGGGTTATCAAGGTTTGGTTGATGGTGGGAATAATATCAAGGAAGCATCTTGGGCTGATGTCTCTGGTATTTCTCAACTGGTAAGCTAGCACTGAGTCTCCTATATTTCATTACATGTAATCCTTTTTGAAATTGAAATGTTATGTTTTCTTTCTTTAAAATGAGATTTTGATACATGGATTTAAAATGACTATTTAGGTCTTTGGTATATTAGTGGTTTTTTGTTAGCATCTTGTCTACCTGAGGTCGAATTATTGAGAGCGACAATGGGATAGTAAACTTTAAAGCGACCAACTGCAGAGCTGTTTAAGATTGATTTTCCTTTCAATGAACTTTTAATGTTTATTTTTTATTTTTCATTTAGCTGTTTGTCCGTTGCCTAGGAATATTCGTTTTATATTCACTGTAAAATTGTTAATGAGATAAAAAATAGTAACTTCTCATATTCGAAAGCATTAAATAAATTCGTTTTAAATCTTATTGTTGAAATTAGACAATGTTTAATATTTATATTTTTCAAATTCGTTATTGCAAAGTTAATGCAATCCTTATTTGTAGCTTCTTGTCGATGTAGAAAAAAACAGTCTAGTTTCAAAAACTGTAAATTGCTATGGGATTCTTTGGAGCCCATTTAAAAATTTGTATAATTTTATTCAGTCCTTATCTTTGCATTAAGGGTGGCACTGTGATTGGTTCTGCGCGTTGCAAAGACTTCCGCCATCGTTCCGGTCGTGAGAAGGCTGCGTTGAACATGGTGAAACACAACATCCACAATCTTGTAGTTATTGGCGGCGACGGTTCTCTCACTGGTGCTAATGAGTTCCGTGTGGAATGGTCCTCCCTTCTCAATTCGCTCGTTGAAACTGGTTCGTTTTAAATTTTACATCATGTTCTTAAATTTAGTCCCATTTAAAAGATAGTTTATACTGATATTCATATTCAGGTGCCATCACATCTGAGGAACGTACAAATCATGAGCACCTGAATATTGTTGGTATTGTGGGAAGCATCGACAATGATTTCTGTGGCACTGACATGACAATCGGCGCTGACTCCGCTCTTCATCGTGTCATCGAAGCCGCCGATGCGATTGTTACTACCGCTCAATCACACCAACGTTGTTTCATTCTCGAGGTCATGGGTCGTAACTGTGGTTATCTCGCATTGCTCTCCGCTTTGGCATCTGAGGCCGATTGGGTCTTTATTCCTGAAGTCCCACCAGCTGAAAATTGGCCTGAGCTTTTATGCTCTAAGGTTTCCAGGGTATGTAAAAGAATTTCACTTAAATACAGATTTCCGAACCATCCATAAAGCTTTGTAAAGTCAGCTTTTGAATCCCACTTGTCGACTGGGATGAGTGAAATGATTGACCAAAAGATCCTAAGTACAACTTATGACGTGCTTGAAATTAACCTTATCGAAGAATTAAGGAAATACACCAATCTGTTGTTATCGCTCATCCTTAGTATTGTTGAGGAAGGTTTCTAGCATGGACTGTTGTAGAATAACAGCCTGACTTCCTCTTATAGAACCGTGAGCGGGGTCAACGTGTAAGCATTATTATGGTCGCCGAAGGAGCTCTTGATCGTGAGAGCAAACCAATTACTTGCGATATGGTGAAAAATTTGATTACCGAGAAGTTGGGTCTTGATACACGAGTGACAGTCCTGGGTCATGTCCAACGTGGTGGACGTCCATCAGCCTTCGATCGAGTTCTCGGTATTCGTATGGGTGCTGAGGCTGTTTTGGCTCTCATGGATGCTGATAAGAAACCTGATTTGCCAGCTTGTGTTATTACCCTCGTTGGTAATCAGGCCGTTCGTCTACCTCTGATGCACTGTGTCGAAAAGGTTTGATTTTATATTATTGCTCTAAAGCTGAAAACTAGTTTATTTTGCTATTTGTCTCGTTTGAAGTCAATATGCCTATGTGTTTCTACAAATGAGGCTACCAATTAATTATTCAAATGCGGTGAGTCCAAGCTCACTCATTTACAATTGCCTGCTTTTGATTGAACTTAAGGGGGCAGTTCGTCAAGGGTGCTCAACTAGAATGATTTGATCCCAATTTTTAACAAATTTTAAAGATTGCAATAATCTAGTTGAGTACTCGACTGTACGTACTTAATTATGCCTAGTTAAAAGTAAAAGCTCATATTCTACTTATTCCTAATTTCGAAAAGGGATAATTACTTTGACTATGAATATATATAGTGTCAAAAAATTAAAATGTATAGCTTACCTTATTCGAAATAATTAACTCCAACTACTATTTCTTTGTTATAGGAAGGCCATGTCTTGGTTTTATAACTTCACAGTTAATTCATAGAAAATGGCATAACATCTTCCACTCAGTTCATTCATCCATTTATTTACAAACCGTAGATAGAAAAAGAAAATTTCAAAAACAGAATTCTTCCGCAATGCTATGTTTGCTTTACTTGATCGTGAGAATTTTTGCTTGTTTAGAATTTGTGTAATTTTAAGCATTCTATATACTTCTTTCTCAGAATTACAGACAATACACATTACGATAGAATTCGGTTTTACATCTGCTTTCATTCGTCTTATAATAATGAAAATCATCAAATTCCTTGCATATTCATATCATCTCTTTAAATCCTTATAAGCGTAATGCAGTTTAATCTCCTCTTCTTTATTGTAGACTCGTTCTGTGGCTGCTGCTATTGCAAAACGCGACTTCGAACAAGCTGTGTTCTTAAGAGGAAGGTATGTCTCGTGTTTCATTTCAAGTGTGATTTACTGCCCACTGCCTACCTCTATGAGTCACTTACCAACGCCATGTCCATTGTAATTGATATACAAATTTATACTCCATCGATTCTATCTGTCATTAAAGGAACTCGTATCATCCCACTTACTAATATTTTCCCGTTTGTAATGAAAATTCATTCAATTAGACTTAGGTTAAATAGAAATCCTGACAATTAGGAATACGTTATCTGGTTTATTGAATCAAAGAATTTCTTTAAATCGATATTAGTAAGAGGGAAGAGAGCCTTGTAGATGCCCTAGTGATAAAAGATGTAGCCATTTTAATCAGTGCCTACAATTTCTAGATGTTCGTGACATTGACATTGCAAGACCATTATACCACACCTTATCTTAGGCTATAATATTTGACAAGGCTACTGGTGCCGTTGAAATAATTCGTATTACACCATCTTGCTTATATTTCCTTTTATAGGAGCTTCATGTCCAACGTGGACACTTATTTAACCTTGTCTAAGATTAACCCACCAGCTGTTGAAAACAGGGTGAGTGATTGCTTTCTCCTTCTCGTCTCTTAATCAAATTTACTTATTATTAATTTTTGGCTTATATGTGTTATTGCTATTGTTAATGCATGCTAAGTTTGCATTTTATCTTTCATTCATCAGCCATCAGTCATCGTAAGTTCATTCCCCCACCCCTCCTCCTCCACGCCCTCGTTTTTCGCTTTGCTTACGTTCAAGTTGCTCTGTATTCTTTGAATCAGAGTTCACCACTCGTTTAGTCCTTTGTGTTCTTCCTAGCGCTTCCTCCTCTCTACTATACTGCCATGCTTTTTGATCAAACTTTTGCCAACCCTCCCCCCCCCCCCCCCCCTCCCCAACCTATTCATTCCGAGAATTGCTTTGCTTATGAAAGGATGCTTTTTTCGCGGAGAAAGAAAACGTACTAGATTTAATAGTGCTTAACTTTCTCTGATTAAACAACTCGTAGTTTGTCATGCACAATTAGAAGAAGCAACGAGCATGCATCAAGGAGTATCAAACCGTTGACTTCCTAATTTTGCATCCTAGCACGTTAGGCCTGTGTCACTAGCATTATTTGCCTTTATGGAGAATGACTCTAATGCAAAGGCACTAATATTAGCTAAAGGCTAGTTCATAGAAAATATATACATAGAGTGGTCTTGGTCCTTTTAATTCATAGGAATTCCCCAGGTCTTCTTTTTATGGATTACTTTAGATAATCAATAAAAGAAGGTAAATTATCATTCAACAAATATATTATGAATTCGGTAGAAGGAGACAATTTGTTCAAAAAAGTAATAAAAGTTGGTGCCTCCCTATTTAAAAGACTCTTAAGTGGTCATCACTTTTAAAAATTAAAAAAAAATTCCTCCTTAGTCGAGCAAAGTCCATTTTAACGTGAAATGTTAGCAGAGCTTTTATTCCTTTGGATCAGCTGCTTTTTTGCCAATTTTATATTTTGCAATCACCTTCTGCTTATCCATATATTAACTGATTTTATTTACCAACGTCGAATTGAGAATGGATAACTTTCTGAATTCGGTTTCTAACGTTGTTCTTTGTTCTAATTTCCATTACTTTTACCATTCCGTTATTTCCTTATGCCTTTAAAGACTTTCCTTCTCAAGCAAAATATTTATTTTATTTATATCAAATGGAAGGCGTTTTGGTAGTTATCATTAGCCCTGGAGCTGACTTCGGGGCTTCATGTTTTGAAAGTTATCATTAGCCCTGGAGCTGACTTCGGGGCTTCACAGCAGAGATAGGAAGGGACATCAAAGTGACAAAAAGTCGAGATGGGAGACAGAATAATAATTCACAGAGGTAAGAGAGACAGACGGACAGACATAAAGGCATAAAAAAGGTAAGATGAGTACTGTGGAAGGGGTCGAATATGAAAAATAGACGGGCCGTAGAAATTTGAAGTCAGAAGTCAACTGCCGATCAATAGACTTTTTTGCCGTATGAGTATACGTTGCCCAGGGTGCACCACGTGGAGGTAAGTCTATTGCGCACCCCTCAAGCAAAATATAAAGTTAGGCTTTGTTATTTCACTTATTGTGTTAACTCTGAATGAGTTTCAAGTTCGAAACACCTAATTTCGGGTCTTGTATCATCTTTGTCAAGTAAACAACTGGTGATCTTTTTCGGGGTCTAATGTTTATTTGTGTTCATTATTTCACAGTTATTCACATTCTGATTTGGTTGAATACCCCTTTTACACCATTTTTTATTTAAAACCCTTCTATCCCTTATCTTTTAGAATAAACTTCGTGTTGGTGTTGTCAATGTTGGTGCTCCAGCAGGTGGTGTGAATGCAGCAATGCGTAGTTTCACGCGTATTGCCATCACCAAGGGTTATCGTGTTATGGGCATCTTTGAGGGCTTCCAAGGCCTTGTCAATGGAGAAGTCAAGGATATTCTCTGGGATGATGTCAGAGGATGGGTCTCCCAAGGTGGCTCTAATCTGGGTACTCGTAGGTACTGTTCTACTCTCCTTCTTAAATTTAATTGCTCTCACTTAAGATTAGCCTGTGCATACTTAATTTGAAAGTCCACCGTTTGATGACCTTGTTTCGTGCTCTTCATTCTTTCTGCTTCTAGTCTTCCTTGCTGTCGCGAGTCTCTAAACGAGCTTATCATACGTCCAAGTTCTTATAGTCTGGTTATTACAAAATAAGCCTCATCTTAATTTGCTTGGGCCATCAACCTTGTGCATTGATGGGCTACTTGAAAACAAAATAAGGCATTTTAATTTGAATTCAGTCCATTACTAACCTCCATCCTCAAAAACTCGTTCGTGAGCAAAATTTTAGCCACATTTCGTCCATTAAGCTTTCTAAAGTTCGGCTTGGTATGCCTATGCTATCATAGTTTTGTTAGTGATTTAGAACTTAGATAAGATTGTAGATTAATCTAATGTGAAAAAATGATATGTTTACTTGTGTCCTAGAATATTGGATAAACATTTTATTCATCGGTTCGTTAACATTAGCTGTGGGTGACGGCAATTTGCGTCAATGGCTCGTGTCGTTCTACGCTCTAATCTTTGCGCAATAGGGCATATCACGAAGAGGGAAATTAATAAACTTTCTTGATGCTGTAATGGTGCTTTTAGAGAGCACTATATTACATATAGTGCATTCGATATTGAACTTTGAGCATTCGCACTGCTAACTGTGGTATTTGTCATTAATTACAGTATTCATTATGAAACAAAATAAATTCATTTTACCTTATTGGGAGACAATGTGTTCCCTTTAGATCATACAAAAGCAGGTTAATTAGCGCTAATATTGTTGTTTAAGCGGTGAGGGCATTCCGCTTCAGGTATTGTTTATTTTTTCCAAATTCCTAATTAACTAACTAACTATGCCCTCCCCCTCCCTCAATCCCAATGTGGAATAGTTACGTTCCGCAGGAGCTTAGATTTTATAAGAGTACAGTTAATCAGAATCCTCACCCATATGCCATTTTCTCATTATATCTTCCAGGAAATTTACAAAATCATTATGGAACAGCACTGAAGCGAGGTAAATGGAGTACATCCCTGAACCATTCTTCTATTGCTCCTCTATTTAAACAAAGTTAACCATCTAAATTACTGGATTTCCGTATAACTTGCAGTCGCAGAAAATGAAGGTTAGATGTCCCTCCAGGCATTCAATATTTTGCAAGGCACTCACTGTTCACATAGCCCAAAAGGTGGAATGAAATTAGACTCGTAACTGTTCTTCATTGATGTTATCTTCAACAATCCATTTTTTGTCAGTTTCCATATGAACTTTCAGTGGTATCTGCCGGTATAATTTTTTGCACTTATCACGTTCTTCATCTTTCCTTTATTAATAAACACGAACCTCGTATAAATAATTGCATACATGCACATCAACCAATACCATTTACGTAATGGTTAGAGAGTTATCTGTCCACTTGTACAGCTAAATTAAAATATTTTCAACTTTAGACCAACTCCAAAGGAACTTGGTTTGGATCTTGTCGCCGCCCGTTTGGCCGAATTCAAGATCAGCGGTCTAATGGTGATTGGTGGTTTCGAGGCCTTTGAATGTATGATCGATTTAGCTGAAGGAAGAAGTAAATACAAGGAACTTTGTATTCCTATGATCATGCTACCTGCTACAATTAGCAACAATGTACCTGGAACGGATTTCTCTCTCGGTGCTGATACTGCCCTCAATGAAATCACTGTTGTAAGTTTGCATCTATGAGCATATTGCTGATATCCCTCTCCACTCTCCAGTCAGGACAATCCATAAGGAAACTGCGATACTGCATTCTAAAACCTCCTTCTTTCAAACCCTTTAGACCATTACTGATACAGCATGCGCTTAAAGCTCAATTTTTTAAAGGCCTACCATATAATAAGAATTTGAAATAATTTCACAGACGGTTACTCCTGAAGAAGCTAGATTAGAACTAAGTTTTGTGATTTAATATGGAATCGCACTTTGTCTTGACCTGATGTTATAGGGATGGTGACAGAAATTCCCTTTTTTTGTCCTGAAGGTAAAACCGGTATGGTTCATATTCAATTACAGGGGATAATAACTTAATGAATCTATAACCAATGTTTTGCGGATTTCTATTTGCAGGCCATTGACAAGATCAAGCAGAGTGCCACTGGTTCCAAGCGTCGTGTCTTTGTTGTTGAGACAATGGGAGGTTACTGTGGTTACCTAGCGACCATAGGCGCAGTGGCTGGTGGTGCCGATGCAGCCTATATCCACGAGGAAGCCTTCGGTATTGATGACTTGCGCGAAGATGTCACTCATTTGCGCGCAAAGATGGCCTCTAATGTGCAGCGTGGTCTGGTACTGAGAGCTGAATATGCTAACAAGAACTACACCACGGATTTCATCCACAAACTATTCACAGAAGAGGGTCAGGGTATCTTTGACTGCCGGTGAGATTTCTATTTCCCTTCGTTTAGACAATTGAACCCAAGAGAGGATAGAAACTTTCATTCTATTATCTTCCTTAGTGAACAGAGTTTAAAGTAATAGTTGGGTTCGTACCGATGGTCACTGTTCTTGTAATCCTATTCTAACCTAGGGTCGATGCGATTTTGGAGGAGAGAAGCGTAGAGTGATGTTCACAATTAGCAACAAGCCTTGCTCATACAATATATACAATGGCAAACAAAATTAGGCGAAGGATAGAGACAATGGAACGTGAGGGTCAACTGTTTGCGCAGTGCTTTAAAATTAACTTGCATAAGAGATAGCGCATGAGCCAATAGAGCCAGGCAGCAGTAGATAATCAAAACCTCTAGTTGGGCTTTCCCCAAGGCAGTGGTAAAATGCAGTGATTGAACTCAATCCGTTAAATGAAAAGTTATTTTAGCTTAGTAATTTTCTATATTAACCTATCGTTGGAAAAATTATTTTATGAACTCTTCAATCACCTGACCATTTTCAAGCGAAGTTCATATCATTCATATAGCGCCTACATGGCTGCAAACATCAAAATTACTCCTAATTATGCGTATGCATTATGATCACAACAGATTTTTGCCTATAAATATAGGATTTTAGTAGATTTTTGCTCTCCCTTTTATGTTTTAAAAGGGTTCATCATCATGGTTGTCTAAATCTTCCACCTTTCCAATAACCGATAAGTAGAGTTTACATAAATATTTCAAGGTGGTTTTATCACTTCATGTGAATTCTCACAAGTAGTTCCTTTTAAAAACTGACAAAGAAGTAAAATAGCTGTTTTGAAAGCCAGTCAGTTTCAAATACGTAAGTTGTCTAAACACAGTTGATGGAGTTACATAAACACAAACATACTTCAGGCAATCACTCTTGCTGTCTGCCAGATCTGCAATTCAGGATTCCAGTAGCTAGTATATGCGTATTGATTTTAATTTGCTTGAGTTTCCCAACAAATCTGAACGAAATAGATCCTCAATTTTGATAGATGATCCTTTAATATAGACCTGAATAAAGTATTTTACCTTAAAAAATATGCAGTTGGCGCAGATCGGACGCATACTAATTATATCAGAGATTAGTTACGTTAGATGAATAAAAAAATGAGGAAGTAACGGAACAATTTATAGAAAACTTCACTAAAGTCATGGATCGTTGCAGACATCCTGTGGAAATGTAAAACTTTGATCAATCCGGTGTATGCTATTCGTGGTTATTTTGGAAGCAAATGCGATCATGGCAATTCCTGCACCTCATCAGGCCTTAGAGAATGCGAGTATGCAAGTCACAGAAATTGCAACAAATACTGTTTTTTTAAGTATTAATTATAATTCTCTTCGGCAAATCTTAATTGCATTAGAAGGCGATGCAAATAAGATTTTCCTGGATATTTGAACTTTTTCTAACTTTTATCTTCTAGGTTATCGGTCTAAACCCTAATGAATATGATCCAATCTGGATCCGTTTAGTACATTTCTGTGGAATAAACATAAGCAATAAGATCTAGAGCCTATAAAGAGAAATAAGGTAACATAGAAACTCCATCTGATTAATTCAAAAAATAAACTGTATTCCTTAGTCAAATTTATTAGTAATCATTTTAACTAATCTAACTCACTTTTGGCTGTAGAATGTGTGTTCTAGGTCACATTCAACAAGGCGGTGAACCATCACCATTCGATCGTATTCACGGTACCAAATTGGGTGTCCTGGCCATTGATTGGTTGGACACACAAATGAACACTTTTCTCACTCAAGAAGGTAAGTGATAGAGAGTCTAGGATACTCCATCTTTTTTATCGAACTAATTCTTACGTTGTTTTGGCAGGTTCTGTATGCACCAGCAATCATGAAGCTTGTGTGCTTCTTGGTCTAATCAAGCGCGCCTATGAGTACTCTCGTGTGGAGGATCTCAAGCGCATAACTGACTTCAAACACCGTGTGCCTGTTGACAACTGGTGGCTCAACCTACGTCCCCTTATGCGTATTATGGCCAAGCACGAGAGTTTATATGAGTCTGAGAGCATTATGCTTGGTGCTGATAGAATTTAGACCCTCGTGCAACTCACATGCAATCAAACACATTTGGTCTTTCCGAGTAAATCGGTTTTTCTCTCTCTCTATTTCCTCCTATTTACCATAACAATCCGCTAATAATTACCTTATAAAATTGATAAAATCGTTCGATTTTCTCATTATTAGTCCATCACAACGCATATCTCCTCTGGAGCTTGCTATTGACCGTTTCTCATTTCTGCGTAAAAAGGACTTATTGGTAGCATTCATAGAAGCCGTTATTACAAAATCACTACTTCCCCCCTCCACCTTCTCTCGTTCTTCATCCTACTCTTACTCGAGTTTTAGCCCTCACGCTCCTTATATACCTTTCTCTGTGTCCCTTCAATGGTGTTGCCGATATGTCTCATTTTAATACAAACTAACTTTGATTTCTGGGGTCTTTTCTGCTCTTGTAAACTGGCATCAAGGTTAGCACTGAATCAATTTTACAGGTTTAAAAGTAAATCACTACAATATTTTTGCAAGCGGTAAGATATCGCATTGAATTATTCATTCCTAGTAGTAAAAAAGCAGTTTGTTTAAGAAGTATATGGTACATTTGTGGAGAAACAAAAATTATTCCAAAGTACTAAGCTCCAGATAATTGAAGAGAAAGATCTTCGGGGTACCATAGTTAACTTATTGGGTTGGCAACTAAGGCATTGCCGTTTTTGTTGAC